GACATTGGAGCAGAGAACTTGCAGGTAATGTTTAGACAAAATATGTAAACATATATGTCAACACAAGACATTTGAGCACAGAACTTACAGGTAATGTTTAGACTAAATATGTATACATATATGTGTGACATAAGACATTTGAGCTGAGAACTCGCAGGTAATGTTTAGACCAAATATGTAAACATATATGTCAACACAAGACATTTGAGCAGAGAGCTCATAGGTAATGTTTAGACCAAATATGTAAACATTTCGTCTTTTATATATATAAAGTAGATACGAAAGTCGATTACTCGATAAACAAAAGTGCTCAATACAAAGTATATGTAGAGCGTACAACATTTTTTTAATAAAATAAGTAAAACTATTTATTGTTAGAAATATGAGACTACATAAATCACACACAGCACAGATTATGTTTTGTTTATTGGAAAAAAGCATAACGGTCATTAGCCCACAGAGTAAATACAATGTTATTTAATTATATTAAGTTTCTATATGAGGTTAATCTAATTTGTTCTCATTTCTAGACCTTCGAGAGAATCTATGAAGATTATGTTCTAATATGATAGCAGTGAAATATGAAACCACAAAATGAAATTCTTTCTAAATAAAAATGTGTTGCATTCATCCTAGTACTCACAATATCATCATGGCATAATAACGTTTTTCTTTTTCAATACACATTTTAATACAAGTCTTTATTTTCCAAGTGTTGACTTAAACTATGGATATGAATTTAGCCTTGGGGATGGGGCATTGTAATTATGAACAGTAAAAGTAACAGACTTGTTGACACCTTGGTTCCACATGACCGAATCTATAGCGAAAAAGCAAGATATGCTCAGCTGTGATACTATAACACGTTGATAATCTAAACATCACACACCTTTTAATAATGACATCCATCTGTAGTATTTTCATCGATTAGATAATGCATTATTTGAAGTAAAGGACATAGATACGATTTCGACCACATGCACTCGTATTAAGCAGAAATGTAAATAAATGTAATAACGTACAATTGTGGAGCATAGTTTCCTTATCATATAGTAATATCGGCACAATTCACAAAATTAAATGAATTAAATCTAATTTAACCAACCCAACTAGCTTTCTAATCATTACTTTAAATAAATGCACAACATAGAATTATTTGTCCACCTTATAGCATGTGATTTAGATCATGGTTTTACCTAAAACAAATACTTATTTATAAATGAATCTCGATAATAAGATATGTTATATGATTCATTTTGTAACTAGTATTTTTTACATATGAAATGATGGAAAATTTTGCAGTTATTAAATAAATGTATAATTTGTACAGGTTAGTGATCGAGGCTGCACAGAAGATGCAATCCAATATTGGCAAGGGCAACCCACAACATGTTGCATGGAATAATTGCCACATGTATCTATTAAAAGCTGCAAGTGTAAGTATGTAAAGCTGATGACATAATATTAGTGAATGCTTTGAGGGTACATGAGGGTTATATTCCCAGTACCCAATATGACCAATTTAATGACCATCGATTAACACATTATCTGAACTGATATGACTGCCATTAATGTATTCAGTCATGCATCTAATATTGTATAACTGTGTACTATTCATGTCAATTATATTATTGCATTGTAAACTAGTTGTGTCTTCATTAGCATATTACTGTGTGTCATAGAATGCTATATTTCGTGATGAATAGAGATCAACCCATTGCAAACACATGCCCCATTAGTCTTCAGTAAAACAGGGTAACCATACCAACAAGGATAGTACCACTAACTCTAGATAGTACTTCACCTCAAAACCATCCACTAAATACAGCCACACTTCAGTACAACTCCTCGCCATCTTAGCGAAAGCCTTACCTAATTTCTGCTACAGAGGGAGCACATCACAAAAACAAATACTGTGCACATAACCAGTCATCCATTAATTGTATCGTGTTATTTCACGTGACTATTGTCTGTATTGTTTGTCTAGGCACACTGTCATTTTTATGTGGTGCAGACGTTTGTGAAATATATAAACGATACTGAGATGTCGGATGCTGTACGTGATATTTTGACGTCATTGTGTCAGTTTTATGCCTTGCATGGTATTTGGCAAAATGCTGGTGATTTCTTGCAGGTGAGTGAACTAATGTTCCCAAGTTTGGGACCAGTGAACAGTAAACATCAGATCATGCAAAAACTTAAAATACAAAGTCCACACATAATGATCTAGTAATTTATATATCGTTATTTATACAGTATTGCAATAAACAATGAAACGAACGTTAATTGGGGATAATTGAAATTTATTGACAATGTTATTATAGGATGGTTATATGAATGGTAACCAGTTGGACATGGTGCAATCTCTTGTGGGAAAACTCTTAGACAAAATCCGTATTAATGCTGTAGCTTTGGTTGATGCTTTCGACTTTCGTGATGAGATATTGTGTTCTAAGCTTGGAAAATATGATGGTAATGTCTATGAAGCTATGTATGAATGGGCCAAGAATTCTCCACTCAATAAGACCGAGGTTAGTGTCAAGTGTGTCCTCTATAATGTCTATGAAGGTTTGTAAGAATGGACCAAGATTTCTCCATTCAATGAAACCTAGGTTAGTATAACGTGTGCCTTTTATAATGTATATGACGGTTTGTATGAATGGGCCAAGAATTCTCCACTAAATGAGACCTGGCTTAGTACAACCGAAGTTAATATAACGTGTGCATTTTATAATTTATATGACGATTTGTATGAATGGGCCAAGAATTCCCCACTAAATGAAACCTAGGTTAGTATAACTCGTACCTTTTATAATGTCTATGAAGGTTTGTATGAATGGGCCAAGAATTCTCCACTCAATAAGACCGAGGTTAGTATAACTTGTACCTTTTATAATGTCTATGAAGGTTTGTATGAATGGACCAAGATTTCTCCACTCAATAAGACCAAGGTTAGTATAACGTGTGTCCTCCGTAATGTCTATGAAGGTTTGTATGAATGGACCAAGATTTCTCCACTCAATAAGACCAAGGTTAGTATAACGTGTGTCCTCCGTAATGTCTATGAAGGTTTGTATGAATGGACCAAGATTTCTCCACTCAATAAGACCAAGGTTAGTATAACGTGTGTCCTCCGTAATGTCTATGAAGGTTTGTATGAATGGACCAAGATTTCTCCACTCAATAAGACCAAGGTTAGTATAACGTGTGTCCTCCGTAATGTCTATGAAGGTTTGTATGAATGGACCAAGATTTCTCCACTCAATAAGACCAAGGTTAGTATAACGTGTGTCCTCCGTAATGTCTATGAAGGTTTGTATGAATGGACCAAGATTTCTCCACTCAATAAGACCAAGGTTAGTATAAAGTGTGCTCTCTATAATGTCTCTGAAGATTTCTTTGTGTGGGCCAAGAATTTTCCACTAAATTAGACCGAGATTAGTATAGCTTGTTTCCTCTATAGTGTCCAGCAAGCTATGTTTGATTGGGCCAAGAATTCTCCACTGATTGAGACTGTTGTTAGTATAACGCTCATCCTCTATAATGTCTGTATATTCAGTGTACACGTTGTAATTTGAAATGCTTTTTCTCTAATGTTTTACTTCCAGGTGCATGACTCCTATAATAAATATCTTCGTCCACTGATGCAATCTAGCAAGGCTAAGTTGTAAAACAAGATGAACAATCACTTCCATAGCACTTTTGTTAATAAACAAAAAATGAATGAATAGTAATTTATGAATTCTTCAAATTGCAATTGATGATATTGTGTTGTGTAGAATTTTAAAAGGAAATATAACAGATACCAGCTGTGTTATGTTATGACAAGGGCTGGTCAGAATATCTTCACTTCATAACATTATTATATAACAATAAATTGATTTCATCATAGTTTTTAGGGAACTAACTTGATTTGAATTTGTGTTATATAGACATCTTTGTTTGTGTATTGTGATTCAATTTAAACTGTAAATTACACTTTTAGTTTATTCAGTGTGATCATCACACTGATCAAAATACAATAAAAAGTACAAAATATGACATACCATGGTATGCCCACAAAAGCCGGTATAAAAAGGATTACATGTATATCAATTTTTATGTGATAATAATGATAAATTGTTTATTGCATCTTTAGAAATACAAATTTCTTCAGTATATAGCAACATAAATATTAATCAATTTAAATAAAATATAATTATTTAGTAAAAAAAGTTTTAAAAAGTTGTTGGAATGCCGTGAAGATGAATTGTGCGACATGCTTAATTGAGGTTTTGTTTGTTATTTCCATTAAAAATTGAAATTTGTCATTATTAGTTTTCTTTTGTTTTGGAATTATAGGCTGGGGCCAGGTTATTGTAGGAAAATTAATTCCATTACTTCTGACCGAAACCGTGCAGGGTTGCAAACCTGGTGGTGTTGGGAGCCAGCGTTTTACAGGGGAAAACTTTACAGACTCAGCGAGCTGTGCTCCAGGGGCTCGTCTGTATAGAGTACAACATTCTTGTATTTTTTACATCATTTATACTGTTAAATTTATGTATATATTGTAACATTTACAATGAAGCACAAGTTTGTTTGTGCTTAGACTGGATAATAACGTACATACATCTATGATAAAATTGTACGAAATTCTGAGAATTGTATGTAGCAGTATTGTGTATTATCGCATCATTGTATATTTTATTGAATAGTGCCACTTATTGGGTCTACGCACTACAGACAATGAGGTACGTACTACCAAACTGACGATATATGATAGACTTGAGCTTGTAATATCACGCACCGGAACCAGCTACGTTTGACTGTCGTCGTATCCCCATTCTGTGCTCAGCCACTATCAATCTCAAAGTCAAGATATTTGGGACACATCTTTACGTTATTTGAACTCTATCTTGTTTAAGTATAATTTAATTGAAATAATCAACAGTACTGTATACCTTGTTTATTTTATGATCTGTGTATCATCAATATGATTATTATATTTATCCCTTGCTTGACACTGTAGATGGTCACTGCATAATATATTTCTGATGGTGATAAGGTTATTAAAAATATATACTACTACTACTTGTAAATGCACTGTATTTGTGGGAATGATAGCTCGACCAAACATTGCCAAATTGTTCCCGGCCTAGTGCCAGTGACAAACATTTGTTACGGTATTTATGATGTATTTTTATCAACAGCACCTCTATCCAATTTATAACACATTTTTTGTTATTGCCATAGTTCCACATGTCTGCTTGTCTAAAATAGCTGGGTTTAATGGTTCTAACAAGGTCATTACTATACAATAAACAATGTTGGGCTTACTACACATTCCTGTACTCCGTTTCTATACTCAGTTGAATCATCAAAATCCTGTGTTAGTGTATTTCAGTAGTTCATTGATAGTAAGAGATTCTCGAAGGTTTTTGCAATACTTGCTAATTGATCACCAAACACTCTTTCTAATTTACCCACTGTTTCTTCGATATTTGATATATCTGCGTTTCTCTCTTCACTGACGATGGCTTTAATTTTGTTGTTGTCAGATTGAACACTATCCACTATTTTGTTAATTTATGTTTGTTAATTGTTCAGATTGTTGGCTTAAACTAACATTGATAACATTCAGTTGGCCATTCATTCCTTCTATCATGTAACCATTTCTGACAATCTCGCAGTTTTGTTGCTCTATTCGTTTGACATTTTTGTACATTTCCGTTAAAGTTGCTGGTAGTTCTGAGTCGTCAGTTGTCGTTTTATTTCCCAAAGCTGACGATTGTGCTGTAAGGTGGTGGTAATCTTGATGGCGTATTGTTAATCTTTTAACATAGTAGTGACTGGTGTTTTAAGTGTAGCAAGTCTTGTTGGCGTTTTGTGGCACACTTTGCTTGATTTGGGTTTGTCTTTATTTCTCACACTTTCCAGTGTTGAATAGCTCTTGTTGGATCCTTTGTACCTGTTGTTTATCCTGGTTGTGTTCTTTTATTTCTGTACATGATGTACTAGTGCCTGTTTGCGCGCTCATCGTCTCCATTGTATTTATGTGACATGTTTGTTACACTGTTGATTTTATCATCAAGTCGTTTGAAATTTCAAAATCTTCATCCTTATATCGTACTGATCTTATGGACTTTCGTTTATGACATTCTTTTGCTGACTACTTTAACACTTTTACACGAAGCAGTAGTTGCTTTTATATAATCTCACTAAAATTATCCTATCATTCATAATCCATGTATAATATGAATTATTATTCACCTTGATAGTCACAGTATTTCCGTTTTCTGTTTCCTGACTTGTTTCCAAACGTAATTTTTTAAAGTAATTTTATATTTATATGGGTACTTATTTTCTGAATATTATTTAATTTGAGGCCAATATTATTTACCTTCAGTTGATCGAAGGAGTTCAATTTGTCTTCATTGAAGGATTGGTTAGTTACTAGTGACTTGATCATGGTTATGTTTGATTGGTGATATTTCACTAGAGTACAGAGTTGTTTATTAAGAACAACACTGTCTGTATTATAGACTGATGTTTGTATAATTGCTCCTTTTTCTATAATGGCTACCAATGTGTTGTACTATTTGTGTAGTGCTAACAACGATTAGGTAAAACTATTTTACTTGTTCTGTTATTCGGTATATGCATCTAGATTTTGTTTCAGTGTCTTCTTTCACTTATCAATATTATCAATACTAACAGTTCACATACGATATAACTCGCCAAATGAATGAATGAACATTCATAATGTCTCTTGTAATGTTATAATGGTATATAACTGCATTCAAATTCATGGAAATCAAGGCTGATTAAAAAAACTCAATAGCAAATGACATTAAGTTATTCCAATCTACGAAAGAGACAAAACTTTTAAAGAAGGAACGTTTTCTTCACTTACAATCCTTGGAATATGAAAATATGCTTGACTACCTCAATAGGAATGACTTAATTAAAATATTTATTCAAATATGCAGAACCATTGTTCATATAAAACACATCGCGCATAATGAAAACGTGGTCAAATAATAATGTAATAATGATAAAATAATATAAGAATTATTATCAAATAATGACAATAGAATATCCTAATAATGAAATAAAAGTATAAATATTACTAAATAGCGGAAAAATAATAAAAAAAGATAATGTGATATGAACATGGCAAATATTGATTTCTCACCCCATAATAACCACCTTTCACACTTGGACCCGAAAAAGCTGCTCTATAGCTTTAATTTATGTTTGTAAAGAGTTATACTATATACTAAGATGTTGTGGTTCGTACTATCAGAAAAAACATTTTACATCCCTTTTCAAGCATTTTATATCCAATAAATGCATTATATTGTTTGATTAAAGGCTCAAGCAATGATCCGGCACTTGGAGTAAATGCTGTTAGTTTTTCAAAATTAAAAACAAAACAATTCTATTATATATGCAACATACATTTGTCAGCATATTCTTTGTACGTTTCAAACATACATATCAAGAAATAAATGTGACTTTTAATAACACTAAATTCCTATTAGATTTCATTAAGAGAGTGACACCGTCATAACAATTTTGTAATGTATTAATCAATATAGAAACCTATAAAAATAAATGCAACAACGCCTTAATTTGTCACAATTGTTTTTGAAATAATCAAACGCGGATTATGTTTAGCAGAAGTACATCACGCAAGTTAGAGATATTTTTAAATAATTTATAGTAAACATGCAGCTGGACTAGGCAAAGTAGAATGGAAATCAGCGCAGCTCGCCAAAGCACCAACAAGTTCTTTTTTTCCGTTTTGACAGATAGTTTCCTAGACATTTTTTGGAGACATTTTTGTAGTTACTTGCTGATCCTAGTAATGTTCAACTCCGATCAATTCATATTTATCTACAGAGCTGTTCTAGTCAGTGCCAATCGGTTTAACACCCACACTTTCTAAATGAAATGATAAGCTGGAAGGCGAATGTGAGTAAATATCAGACCTTGCGCATCCTACTCAAAATACAACAAGCGTCAAATTGGATTGATATTGACTTGCAGTATTCTCAAATATTCATCATAACAAGGTATCTGGTCAATGTAGAAAGGCAAACTTAGACAGAATAACATGATAAATAACAATCGATGTATGTATATGCTTTATTATCTTTAGAACTCACTAATAAATATGCAGTAAAATAGAAAAGTGTCAGGGTGACATATAGACTGGCACAGTCGGGGCGATTAATTGTTTTTTGTAGTTTAAATAAAATAAAAAAAATCACGAAATGGAGGTGTTAGCGCGAAATGACCCCGACTGGTTTATTCTGCAGGAAATTCATTGCTAATAAATATTCAAGAATGCACATAGTATAATGAGGTGGGCGCGGAAATACGTACATAATGAGGTCAACATGGTAAAGGTCACACTGCAGACCCTACATGGCGGCACGTTGAAATTCGAGTTTGTCGTAGTCGTCGTAAATAGACTTAGAATGTAGCATATAAACTGTAAAACGTAGGTTTTAATGTAGTTTCTAGTTGTAGAATTTAAAAAAAAATCGGCCGCTACAATCAGCCGACGTCTTCTCGGTTAGAGGTTAGTTGAAGAGACGTTGTGATTGGATGATTGTCAGTTAGAATACTCATTAACATAATTACCCGTTGAAAAATCGACGGGTTCCTGCAGTGTCGATAGAGGGCCACGCAGAATAAACCAGTCG